GGTAAAGTTAATTCAAATTTAGGATTGCTGGACTTAGAAATTGAAGAATCTATAAAAAATACTTAATCAATAAAATTATTGATATTATCAAAACATTACTAAAATTATTTAAATCATCAATAAATACATCTAAATGCTTCTCTATTTCATTCATATGCCATTCTATTTAATTATCTAACACCTAGTCTCTAATCATTTTTCTAATTCTATTAAATTTAACTTATTAAAATATTATTATTTATTTGCATTAGGTGATTTGCAATTAAATTAATTGAATTGAGGTTGCGAAGATAAAAATTATTAAAGAAGCCTAAAAAATGTAAATATTTTTCTAATAATAAAGAAAATTGTACTTTGATCAAGTTTATATTAGAGATTATTAAACAATATTAATACTTATTGAACAAAAAATGATTGATCTTTATATGGTATTTCAAAGTATCATAAATTGGGTAATTCTTGAATAAAAAATATTTTGGCATCATATGTTGAATAAATTTATTTCAACACTTATATTAAAATACTTAAATAAAGTTCTATGGTAAATCTATTAATGATACTAAAGAATTCTTGGTCATTATTCTCTGTTATTGTAATACTGAGCTTTATTAAGGAACATCAGTCTTATTAAACTGTGCGAAAATAAAATTCAAAAAAAAAGTGTTTTTTGATCCCAATTTTATATATTGTAAGAAAAATATAAAAATCAATAAATGCAAATTTCATCATAAGTTCTGTTAATTTACACTCACAATTCAACAGATGGCATCTCGAATTGTATTCATGAACCATCTACATTTTTCGATAGTTAATCTAATCCACATACTTTAATCTGAACACTAAGTGTAATAAATATATCTGCATTGGTGATAATCAGCCTATTTTTCGATTGTCTACCTATCATTCGAAAGAAGAACAACAATACCCAACTGAAAACTAAGAATAATCCCCTATTTCATACTAATTTGATTTGTGAATATGAAAATATTTATTGATCTTATACTGCTGGAATTATAAGATAATCATTATTTGGTCTAAAATTTATCTATTGTTATGAAAAAGAATATAAAACCGATTTTTTGCTCCTTTAAATTGTTAGTAATTATGATATATTTTGAATACTATCGTTTTTCTAAAAATGAACAATTGTATCATTTAAATAAAGAGTGATTTAATGTGATTCTCAAATTATTCTGTGATAACAATGCTTCTAACTTAAGTAATAAATTTCAATAACTAGAAAACAAAATTTTCTAAGATAATTATGATAAAGTATCCACTTAAAATAATAAATGCTTAATAATTAAGAAATTTTTCACAGTTTCTGAATTTTATGCCATCAATTTTTTTTCATGTATGAATATTGTCGAATTGTGTAAATTTGAGATTCAAGATAACTACATATTATTATTTTTTACCAAACCTTCATAATTTCTAAAAGTATTGCTGGCTTAAATAATTTATTTCAATAAATAATAACTTATTTTCGAAACTCTTGAGCATTCATAATAGAACATTGAATTAAAAATTCTCCTATTTATTTGGTAGATGTAAGATATATTTTGTTTTCAACTTGTTATCCTCTTCCCTAATTCAAATAATTTTGTAATTGAGTTTATGAATCATATACACTCAAAGAATAAAAACCCTTTGTAAGATTATATTTTATTTTATAGAGTTAGATTTAGCTCCAAATTAGCTAATTGCTATTTTTGAAGAATTATGTTAATTAAAGCCAGTTAGCTGAACATTTTCTTGATGTAGTACTTAATAACGTCCCACAAAAACTAATTAAAGCTTCAGATTATTTATGAACATTATTTGGGCAAGGCTATGAGTAGAATTTAAGATCAAAAGCAATTCTAATAGGACAACGATGAGAATATTTTAAGTCTAAAACAAAGATATGCAGTATTCATTAGTTATTATTCTGTTTCTGTATTAAATATTTATCAAAATCAAGAGTGATCCTTTGAAGAATAGTATGATTATTAGCTACTCTGAACATATTGGGGAGTAGGGTTAAGTAATTGTTTTCACTCATGCAATACTTTAATATAAAGGTTACCTTACTGGAATTTAGACTCTTATGAGACTGGGCATAGCTTTGATTTCAATTCAAATTAATCTGAAGAAAAGTTCAATAGTAAATCCGAATTAGTACATATAGTTGATTTAATAAAGCCACTTAAACAGAATTTAGATTAACTCAGTCAATCATGATATGTCTTTTATATATCTAGGGAGCAAAGGATGTTAACAATGAATATTGTTAAATATTAATTGGTAACCTCATGGTTCCAAGTAATAATTTATGATATTATTCATCATAATATCCAAAACATTAATATTACGAATTTCTGTAATAATTTCCTAAAGTCGAGATTCACATCGTTACCAATAATTTTTTGCTTTTGTTAAAATTTCTACCATTCTTTGAAATCAATTTAAATCGGATATGTAAAAATGTATTAATGGAATATGATTAATTATCAATAAAAATACTAAAAAGCAGTTATCATTTTTGATTATCCCAGCCGTTATCCGTTGACATACAGACTAGTGAGGTCAATTCTTGCATTAACTGTAAGCGTCTTGGTTTTCATACATCCCCTTAGATGGTCAGATAGACTCTTTTCAAGGTTTAAAATTTATTAGCCATACATACCTAACAATTTTGAATTAAAAAAATAATATATCGACCTAATATCAGGTAGGTTATCTTAAATTTGATTTAGTTTTATAGGTATTCCACGGCTGATCTCAAAAATTTAAACTAAAACATACTTATAAATTTGAAAAATCAAAATTATATTTTATAGATAATTACATAGGTATAACAATTCATATGATATCAAATTAGTTGAGTTATTTTAAGGTAATTCATACTTGTGCTTTATTGTTTCTTGGTCTTCATTTACTATTATTCCTCAGTAGGCAGGTGGGTGCGCTCCCTACAATTAAACCAAAGGCTTCGATTTTAAGTTTACAACTTAGCTCTGCCTACTCCTTTCTAATTATGGTTTCAGTATTTTTTAGATTAGACACCTTTGTTCAAACTC